CACCTCAGCAGGGCTCTATCACCACCCTGCAAGTTCTCCAGGTTTCTCCATCACTGGGATGAGCTGGACACGCTCAGGCTGCCTTGGTGAGAAGCCTGGCACAGCCAATGCCCAGCTGGGAACACCATGGCTGCTCCAGCTCCTGCTGCGTCCCGTGTCCCCCGTCCCAGCACCTGGAATGCTGCTGTACAGATCACGTGCTTGGTCCAACTGAAAAGTGCTTTTATTCCTTTCCTCAAGTTCAATGTGCAGCCACACCAGCGCTCCTCAGGCTCTTTCCTTAGCCTTGATTCAGCACTCAGCCACCCAGCTAGAAGTTAACAGAAAATTCCCCAAAAAATGACCGATCCCAGAGTTTGGAGTTACCTCTGCCAGGAGTGAACAGGCACTCCCAGAGGTACAGGCTGTGAGCAAGATCCCCAAAACCCAGGAATAACTCTGCTGTCACTGCTTTTTAATAGTTACACGAACTGGGATATGGGAAAATGTTCCCCTTGGATGATCCAACATTAGCAAAATGTAACCTGAGATACACAGAGCAAGAGTTCAGCCTTGTGTTTGTCACCAGTTACTCCTGGTTTGCACAACACCCACCTGGAACTGTGTCCTGATGCCAAAAGTATCCCCCAAACAAACATTTTCTGGAATTGGTAAGAACTGAAATGGCATTGTAAAGTTGCCCTCTCAAAGCTGCATTTCCCACTGATTTTTGTCTATTGGAAGTTATCTGAGCTCTGCTGGAAAAACTTCATCACCGTGTTCAGAACACTGCACAGACTGTGAGGTCCTCTCCAAAGTTTCATACCCCATAGGCTTTGTCCAAGTAGGCAAAAAGCTGCATTTGCCAGCTTAAAAATAAGAACAGCAGAGAACAATGCACAAAACCCCCCAAAATTTCCTTTCCAGTTTATTCTCAAGTAACAGCACTAACAGCAGGACACCCCCTTTGTGATATAATTGTGTTATCTAAACATATGGGCCAGAAATTTGATATCTGAGGTCCCTATAAATCCTTCAGAAATCCCTGTCTCCATAAGAGTTCTCTCTAGGACATGTGGAAGCTGCCAGCATTCCCTGCCTGCCACAAATCCATGTTGTCAGATTTATTTATCAACATTTTCCAGTGCTGGACACTCTCTCTACCAAGGGATTCCAGGGAATTGAGCCCTGCCAGAGTCAAACAGGCTCCAGGGGAGGAAAGGTGACAGCAGCTCCAGAAGAGATGCCCAGGGCAGTGATGTGTGGGAATCCAGGGATCCCTCTGGCTGCCCTGGGACCCTGGCAGGGCTCAGGAACCCCCCTGGACAGAGCCCCCAGAGACACTGCCTGTGATCTCTGGCCATGGAAAAGAGTTTTCAATCTTACAGGATCAATTACCAGCTCTGAGGGTTTGATAGAAGCAATAATTAAGTGTGGCAAGGGTGCAAAAGTAAAATTTTAGGATTCTAGATGAGGGGTCCAAAGGGGACAAGCTGGAGGAAATTGGGTGTGCCTTGTCCTTTTTCTCCTTCTTCATGCCCTCCATGTCTCACTGTGGTGTTGGCATTTTTCTGTTGGTTCAGGCTGGGGACACACTGTCCAACGTGGATGACAGATATTGGCACGTTCTTGTAAATCCAGCCCAGGGAGTTTCTGGTATTTAATGTTTGTCACATCCCACTGAGGGCAGAGCCCCACACGCTGCCCTGCAGGACAGAGCTGGGCAGGGCAGCAGAACATGTGAGAGATCAACAGAATAAACAACCTGGAAACCAGCACAGACCAATTCTGGCTTCTGCTTTGGCAGCGGGGCTGACAGACAGAGACTTTCTACAATTTTGGGATCACCAACAGCACAGATTCCAACAGTGATGGAGTCTCCATTCCCGGAGGGATTTAAAGCCGTGTGAATGTGGCACTTGGGGACATGGTGAGTGGTGGGAATGGATGGATTTGGTAACCTTGGATGGAGATCTTTGCCAGGTGACTGCACCATCCCAGAGGGACGGGCCTCAGCCCAGGCAGTGCTGTCCCTCCGCAGTGTGGAGCTGGCAAGGACGGAGCCTTGCCCTTTCCCTGGATGCCCCCCGGCTCTCGGGATGCTCGGGGATGGGAGCGGGGGGCGCAGGGAGGGCAGAGCCGGGGTCCTGCACAGCTCCTGATGCTCCGCATCCCGAAAGAAGGCAGCATCCCGGGGAAGCAGAGGGAAGGAGACAGCAGGTGGCAGGAGTTAGCTGTAACGAGCAGAGAGCGGCGAGCAGGAGAAATCCTCGTCAAACACAGCGAGCAACGTGAGTCACTCCGCAAACAAAGAGAATTCACAGCAGCAGCCCCCAGCTGCTCCAGTGCTGCAGTGTGACTGTGACAACCGCACAGCACAGAACCTCCCGACCTGGAAGCGACTCACAGGGACCATGGATCCAGCTCCTGCCCTGCACAGACACCCCAAATCCCATCCTGGGCATCCCTGGCAGCATCCAAACCCTCCCGGAGCTCTGCAGCCTCGGGGCTGTGCCCATTCCCTGGGGATCTGGGCAGTGCCTGCACCCTCTGGGGGAAGAACCTTACCCAAAATCCAAGTTAAACCACCCCTGACACAGCTCCAGCCGTTCCCTGGGATCCTGTCGCTGGTCACGGAGAGAATAAATTGGTTCAATAATTTATTCTGCTGCAGATCCTAGTGAGGCTCCCCTCAGTCTCCTCCAGGAGGAACAGACCCAGTGCCCTCAGCTGTTCCTCATATTTCCACTCCAGACCCTTCACCAGCTTCAGGAACTGATGTCCCTGGATTAGCACTGCCCACCAGTAGCCTTGGAACGTGGTAAAATATTGGCAAAAAACCTGAGAAATAGGAATGTGCCACGATTTGGATGCAATTCAGAGTCATTTGAGTTGTCATTGCCAGTCAAGTGGTTTCCATGAGAGCCACACAGCCCCACAGTTTGCTCTGGAGTATGAAACACAACCACGTTCCAGCCCAGCAGAGCAGGCAGGCTCAGGGATTTTTGTTTCTGTTGGGAATTTACACTTTCCCCGAGGATGATAGCACTGACTCTCCAAGAAGGTTCACCATCTGCTTTGCCTTCCTGGAGTCATTCCTGAGGACATTACTCCTCATTTCCCAGCTACAGTACCACCTTCATGATATCGAATGTTTCCAAAATATTTCCAGAGGTTTGGGCAGACTTTGTTGATTATAAAGCTCCTTTTTGAGATTCGTGAGTCTCACCAACAAATTCCTAAAACAAAAAGGAAAAATGCTGTTCCTTCCCCTGCCCGGCTGCTCTCTAACGCAGTGCACCTGTTCCCCATTATCCCAACAGCTTGCTGCTTTTCCTAAATAATCTCCCATGTGGAAAGGGCTGTGCTTGAAACCACCAGCACTCAATGGCCCAGGATGGGACACATGGAGCCCAGCACAGCCCTGGCAGGGGCACAGGGCTCCCGGGGTACAGCTCACAGCTCCACAGACACTACTGACCTTCTTCCCCTCCCGAACTTCTCCCACTGCTACTCTTAGGAACTCCTAAAAAGTTCAAATCCCTCGGCTGGGTTTGTTCCTCATGTGGCTCCTGACTTTTCTCCAGGTGAGGCCCCACCTGCAGAGCTGCCCCAGCCCTGGGCCAACATCAGCAGGACCTGGAGCTGCTGGAGAGAGCCCAGAGGAACCCCC